GGCAATAAACAGTACTATTAACTTGCATTGGACGGAGGGATGACATTAACATGTTTTAGCATTGTAGAGGGACGACAAGTGAAGTTAATTGATAGTAGAGGGACGACATGGAGCCAAATCCATAGTAGAAGATTTAGATTGCACTATTTTTGATAGTAGAGAGACATAGATGGCATTAACCCTGTAAAAAAAATAATAAAAATCACTTTGATCGGGTAGGATTTTTCCATTGGGCCGGAGTCGAACTAGGTTGAATTAAACGGACCGAATTCGGTGATTAGGTACATAACCTAACCCAACCCTACCCAACCCAATAGCCCATTTGCAAATGGGTTGGGTTTGCTTATCCCTGAACAGAACATCCATGACGACCAACCCCTTCTCTTCTTCTTCCTGGAACAGGAAGAAGAGCATTCATCTGCTTGTTTAGGGTTTTACATACTCAAGTCGCCGAGTCGGTCACAGCAGCAAGCAGAGAAGAACAATGGATGGCAGACAGTTGACGGCAGAATCGGTGCCGTTGTTCCAGGAAGGAATAGGTTTGCTCCTGTCTCGGTGGTCGGTTCTGCAACTGGCCGTCGAAAACGAGTGGGGCGGCCGCGACTCTCGCCGCAAAGCTGAGCTACTCCTCTCCGATGTCTTCTCCTTCTTTAACAACTCAAAAGGTGGTCGCTTTTCCCTCATAATTCTTCCTTTTCCATTCCTTTTTTTGGCTGTATTTCTGGAATAAGTTTTGAGTTTTGCTTGTGTATGATCATCATCACTGAATTAAATTTGCGAACTTTCGTTTTGATTTTGTGAATTTTTGACTGCCCGAATTTTCTAAATCTTTATTCATGATTTCTTAGTGCAATTTTTTTGTTTCTTCGGTTTGATTCAATTTTGGGAATTACATTCTTTTCAGAGCCGCTCTACATTGATGACCTAGAAAATATCCTTGAGGAATCTCTGCTTTCTTTGAATACAATGGCTGAGGATGGCAGCATCGAGGAGGTAATACCGCTAATACCCACCATTTAGTATGTTAATGGCTGAGGATGGCAGCATTGTTTCTTCATTAGATTGGTTTGAGGCTTGTTGATAAATGAAGGGTTGCCTTGTCAACTTTAACAGCAAGTAATTGTATTCAAGAATTGGGAGACTGTGTTTATGAGCATTATCAAGGAATTGAATTGAACTACAATTTCTAGTTTTGTATGGTATTGATTTTTCTGTTCCATTTGAACTTTTATGATGAATTATAAGTATATCCTGGCAGTTCTGATTTTAGACATATAGGGATGCTTTTTGGACATCATTGCTACAGACCAGATTCTTAGGAATAACTAGAATGCTTCTGCCTGCCTTTAGGCTTTTTGTAGTTGTGATTTCCTGAATGAATTATTGCAAGGAGGAACATATATAACTTGTAGAACTATCTTGGTTTCAACTGTTTCGTAATGAACTCAAGATTTTAGGTTCAGAGCCAATCTTGAAGTTAAATTCATGCATATGGAGATCGCATCTCGGTATTTCTATTGTACAATTTCCTTGTTTCTAGTCCTGCTGACTTTGCAAGTTTGGAACTAGTTTTGGAAGGGATTCAGGTTTTTGTTTCTAATACCCTTTCTTCATTAAGGATAATGGATTTTCTAAAACCCTCTGTAGGTTGCAGAAAAGTTGATGATTGTGCATGAAGAATGTTTGGAAGGTAATTATCAGTCTATTGAAAAAATGAGGGCAGCCAATCGTTCACCAGTTAATCACGTCAGACAGGTAATTTTTGGTTTAAACTCTGCTTAGAGAATTGTGTTGACTACCTGTTGATGAGGACTCTCTCTACTGGTTTATCGTCTTATATGTTTCAATTTTTGGCTGTGTTTTCACTACTTGCAATTTTGATATTGATTAAACAGTAACTCCATTTCTGGGAGCTTGTGGATTTTAATTATTTCATAGTATACGGAGACACTGCAACACAAAAGATCATGACTTTTCTTTGTTTTTGTTCCCAAAGGAAGATGTAATGGAGAAACCAACTGTCTATTAAAACTTGCAGTGGCCAAAAGTTATATTTTTGAAATGATTGTCTTTGTCTTAAATTTATGTTTCTTATTTTATATTCCTTCCTTATTCTAGTTTAATGATGAGGATGAGGACGAGGACGATGATGACGATAATGCCGGCACGGGTGAGGACAATACAACAAACATGATGGTAGATTTGCCGAATTCCCGGCCAATTTCAAATGCAGTTGGTACATCAACTGATGAACCAAAAACCAAGCAGAAAGCTGAAGCTGCTGATGATGGTTGGGTGGTAGTTTCTTCTAAACGAAATAAGGGAAGGAAAAATTAGGTTGCCTCTTTAATTACCATATACATTTCCCTCTTGTTTTTCTGAAACGATATTTGTATTTCTTTTGATATCTATTTATTAACATATTTGTTCCTCTCTTTTGCTAAATACCCTTTTTATTTCCCCCAATTGTGGGGTGTGTGTGTTAGTTAAATGGTATATATGGAATTCCATGCAACCCTAAACTAACTAGTTTTGAAGTGGTGGAGTGTCTTATTCTTGTACCATTGTTCAAAAAG